TCTGTTCTTCTCTACCCAGGTATCTTTGCAAGCAGCTGGTGCACCCACCACGTCAACCACGCCATGCTGGCCGTGGGCTACGGTGCCGAGCAGGAGGACAACAAGACCACAAATTATTGGATCCTAAAGAACAGGTGATTAAAGAGGATATAGCCCAGGGTGAAGAAGAAGGACATCGAAAATCAATTTCTGGGTCAAAGTTAAATCTCATTTATTTCATCCTCTGGTTTAGCTAAGAAAGTGCCCCTCTATTTGTTAGATCAGGGTTTCTCAGCCTTGGCAAGATTGGCTCAGCCAATCCTTTTATGCCCAAGAACTCCCAGTCTCCTGGTGATTGACCCAAAGTCTCACATCTGGCTTTCATGCCTAAGCCGGGACTAGAACTCACTGTCTCCTGGTTACTGGCCCAATGTCACCCAGCCAGCTTTCATGCTTAAAGCAGGACTAGAATCTCCCACTTTCTAGCCTGGGGCCTTAAATAGACCAAACTTATATCTAAACTACATCCATTGCATATTCTTTGTTTCTCACATTTTTTTAAAGCAGTTTAGTCTTGGTAACACAGAGGATATGGGCCAATTGTAGAAAGGATACAGCAGAACCTCTTAGTTAGCCAAGGGTTCAGGAGTGTTGGAGTTCATTATTGGAATGTATTGGCATGCCACAATTACAGTATTATTCAGCCAGTAGATTGCAGAATTTACAAGTTTGGATCTATGGTACGGTCTATATACTCTATGCTCTTTTGTTCTAAGCAGAGTTTCCTGTTACAGTTATATATGGCAGTTGAGCAGTAAAGCACATGGTGACGGTACTCTTTGTTTGCTCCGGTGGTGCTTTATATAAACAGAATTTCTAACAAAGAGTCATAGCTTTTGCAATGCACCATCAATTATCCACCTATTAATCTCCCTTTCTCTCTTTCTTTTCTTTCCCAGCTGGTCCGAGAAGTGGGGCGAGCAGGGCTACATGCGATTGGTGAAAGGCGTTGATAACCATTGTGGGGTAGCCAATCAAGCTTGTTACCCAATTATGTAACAGATCCAGCATCTTCTCCGCTTCGGAGTTTCAGCCTTTCCAACTGAGCTGTCCCTTTGCTGGCGTCGTCGCCCCAGATTGGGTTAAACGTTTAAATCAATTTTACTTCTTCCTGGTTTCTGATCCTAGTTTCTCTACAGTTTGTGAAGAGTGCTCGGCTGTTGTTAACAGCTTCCTGGATCTTATAACGAGGGGTCTGCAGTACGCAAGTTTTAATAAATGTTCTCTTGAGCTTGTCTGGTGCATAATGGAGTGATTCCCATATCTTTCTTGTCAGGGATATGAGAGATGTCCTAATTAATTCATGAGCCTTGAGTAAGTTTCAAAAGAAATCCAATTATTTATTAGGAGCAACATGTCACCATTTTCCCAAGTACACTCTGCTCTGCCCCACATAATTTACTGCCCACCTATGACCTTGTTTCCCCCTTCCTCCCAGGGTGTGTCATAAATCACATTCCCCAACTGAGCATTTTATACAATCTGGAGAAAGCTATGCGTGGAATGTGCTTCTAATCGTAGCAACCGAGCTTCTCCATCAGTTCTCCCCCTCCCCCCCCCACTCCCTGCCTACGGCAACTCAACAGCAGGCCAGGAATGCTTTACGAGTTGACATTTCCTTTATCTTTCCCTCATTCCCTTTTTCCTTCCATAAATGGGAACACCAGGAGAGGAGAATATTTTTTAGCTCAGGGTTGAACTGTGGGGTCCTTGGTACTCTCTCAGCTTGGTGTTTTTCTAGCAGACGTTTCACGACCCAGCTAGGTAACATCATCAGTACTAGTGAATGTGGGATTTGCTCCCACACTCACTAGTTTATATATAGTATAGAATAGTCCTTGACTTAAAACCCTTCTCAGTCATCCAGGTCATAGTTGTCTCAAAGGTATAGAATGCACAATAGAGTAGAGTAGCGTAGAGTAGAGTGGAGTGGAGTGGAGTGGATGGAATAGAATAGAATAGAATAGAATAGAATAGAATAGAATAGAACAGAATAATGGAATGGGATGGGATGGGATAGGATAGGATAATGGAGTGGAGTGAAAAGGAATGGAACTCAACAGAACAGAACAGAATAATAGAATGGAACAGAACAGAACACAGAACAGAATTGAAGAATGGAGTGGAATGGAATGGAACAGAACACAGAACAGAATAGAATAATGGAGTGGAACGGAGCAGAACAAAACACAGAACAGAATAGAATAATGGAGTGGGATGGAACAGAACAGAACACAGAACAGAATAGAATAATGGAGTGGAACGGAGCAGAACAGAACACAGAACAAAATAGAATAATGGAGTGGAATGGAACAGTACACAGAACACAGAACAGAATAGAATAATGGAGTGGAATGGAATGGAACAGAACACAGAACAGAATAGAATAATGGAGTGGAATGGAACAGAACAGAACACAGAACAGAATAGAACAATGGAGTGGAATGGAACAGAACAGAATAATGGAGTGGAATGGAACAGAACAGAACACAGAACAGAACAGAATAGAATTCTTTATTGGCTAAGTGTGCTGGGACAACAAAGAATTTGTCTCCAGTGCAGAAACTCTCAGTGTACATACTCCATTCCATATCAAATAATAACAATAACAACAATAACTACAATAACTACAATAATAACTATAATAATACCAAAACAATAAACAACAGTGGCAAAAATGCAAGACCCAAACCGCATACGAGTGACCCAAAAACTTAGAACGGCAACTAACCGGACACCCAAACGCTGCACTTTGGCAGGGATTTGAAGGGATGTTTACTTTCCAGCCAGAACGAGCGTTCGTGCTCAGCATGTCGAAATGAGCCTGTTGCAATCCTGGGCCTTCGCCAATCGTCCGGTTTTTGGGACTGTCCTGTTTTTCCTATGACGAAAGGCATCGCTAGCCCCCCTGCATGTACGCTGGACCGAGGCACGTTTTAAGGTAAGGAGCACTCTCTGGAAGGCCAGCCTTGGGTCAGGGGGGGCAGTGCCACCCACCAACCAAACGAGAGAAAACAAGATTTTAAAAAAGGCTGATAGGAACAATGCAGTCCAAAGGAAACCAACGCAGTCCAAAAAAAAAATTAACTCTGAAGCTTTTGAGCTGGGGAGAGCAAATTCCATTTCTTTAATTCAGTGTTATGTTTCTTCTGCGAGACCGTAAGTTATTATTATCATCGATTATGCAAAAATTAGATGGAGAAAAATAGCTTTTCCTTCCTTCCTGTGTCCTCCGTCTCTTTCCTTCCCTTTTTCTACTTCCTCGCAGAGTTTTTTTTTCCTTCTTCCTTTCCCTTCCGTCTCTTTGTCTGGCGCTACCAATGTTTACTTCTATCCTGCCTTTATTATTTTTATAGCTAACTCAAGGAAGTGAACATATCCAACACCCCTTCCTCCTCTTATTTACCCCACAACACTAGAAACTCACTTGTCTCCTAGTGATTGGCCCAAAGTCACCCAGATGGCTTTCAGCGTTAAGGCTGGACTATCAACCAATCAGTCCAAATAGGGCTGGAAGGGACCTTGGAGGTCTTCTAGTCCAGCCCCTGCTCAAGCAGGAGAATCGATATCATTTCAGACAAACGGCTGTCTAGTCTCTTCTTGAAAACCTCCAGTGATGAAGCACCCACAGCTTCTAGTGGCAAGCTGTTCCACTGGTTAATTGTCCTCACTGTTAGGAAATTCCTCCTTAATGCCAGGTGGCTTCTCTCCTTGGTTTCCATCCATTGTTTCTTGTCTTGCTTTAGAGAATAATTTGACCCCCTTTTCTTTGTGGCAGCCCCTCAAATACTGGAAGGCTGCCATCATGTCCCCCCGAGTCCTTCTTTTCTCTAGACCGGCCAAACCCAAATCCTGCAGCCGTTCTTCATATGTTTTTGTCTCCAGGCCTTTAACTGTCTTAGTTGCTCTTCTTTCCACTTCTTCCAAAGTCTCAACATCTTTTGGTGATTGGCTCAAAGTCAACCAGCCAACTTTCATGCCTAAAGCGGGACTAGAACTCTCCGTCACCTGGTGATTGGCCCAAAATCACCC